CTGGTGGTTATCAATTAAAATAATAAAATTGAAAGTAAAAACTATATAAAATTGTGTGCCAGGACTGATGAAAAATCATCAGTCCTATCTGAATATTTGGAGTGTGATTGGTTGTTCCTTTCTTTAAATGAAGATTCTAGATCTGGCATTTTAGAATTCTCTTTAATTTGAACAATATAAATCCAACACTTAAGCCTCCTTTATTTCTTTTGATTGTCTCAGATTACTTTCCTGTATAAAACAAACTAAGAAGTAGAGCTGTTATTTATAGAAGGTATGACCTAATTGGCCCCATCATTTTTTTTCACACACATAATAAAATATGTATTTGAGAGATTGCCTCAAATCAATGTAACAAAACCCACCAAAGTTATAACATTTTGAGCAAGCCACTTTCTCCACACTTAATTTCAAATAGTATTAGAAAATAGTGCTATTACCCTAATGTCTTTGCTAATACAAGATAATTGTTATTGAGAAAATGTATTCAAATCTTTAAAGTTTGTATCCTTAGAGTAAGAGTGAACATAAATGATAGGAAGAGAGAAAATAGAAACCAGTTTTGTTTTAAGAACTGTACATAATTTATCCAATTTAATCCTTTAACCCGTTCTATGAATTGGCATTATTATTCCATTTTATAGAAGAGAAAACATGCTTAGAGAGGTAAGTAACTTACCCAAAGACATACACAGATAAATTCAATCCTAAGCCTGCACGACTTTTAAATCCACAAGCTTTCCTCTATATTTCAGTAGTTCTCAACTCATTTACCCAAGGCTTACAGTTTAATGTAGCTTTTATCTCTGAATTATGTGAAAGGAAAAGGAACCGTAAAGTTCCTGGAATTTTCTGTATTCTCCTCTGTATACCTTGATTCTTTTTGGTCCTCAGATTGGTTTGTTTTGTAGTGTTAGTCCCATTTTAAGTAGAGTTAAACAGTTTGTAAGTTTAACAGTTAATAATAAGTGAACAGATAATAGGAGGAAATAATTCATTAATCAGTTACTCCAACAAGCAGCACAACTTTGAGGCTATTAAAACAGCAGTGGGTCTATTCTAAGAAAAATATTTTCAGACAGTTGCAGGGAGTTCAGGAACCTCCTTAAAAATCCATTTAAGCTCCCAGTGTTCAAAGAGCATCATCATTGGACCCCACCCACACTCCCTACTTGAGAATTTTGAGCTTCCTCTGTGTAGATGGAGGGGATTGATGATTATTCCAGTATCTAGTATTGTGTTTGGTTTTTACTTTGAATATAATTTTACAACTTCGTGATTTTGACCTGGCACAGCTCTTACAGTATTTCCTTTAGACAACACTGTTATCTGTAGTTACTACGCCTAATTATTTGATGTTATCAAAAAGATGTATGATTGATCAGTAGTAATTCTAGTCTGAATTTGAAGTCAATTTTGTGTTCTTTTATAAAGATATCTTCCAATTGATTATAATTACATATGTTCTTCCTTGATAAAAAGATTTTTCAACTGTAATCTGTGTGGATACAATGCAAGAGGAAGAAGGAGATAAAGGGGATGATGCCTCAGTCCTGACCACCAGAAATGATGAAAAATCCCATCCTTTTACCAATCCCCGATGGGCCACTAGAGTCTTTGCTGCTGAATGTGTCTGTAGGATAATTAACCAGTGTGAGAATGTGAACATTGCACATTTTGACATTGCTTTGGCACAAGAAATGAAAAAAAGGGATTCAAGAAGTAAGTGGCATAGTAATGAAAAGACCAAATAATATATGTACAAATGCTGTCTGCTTATAGTTTTATTAATTTTAAAAATGAAACTAAACATTGTTTTTACTCTTCTAAATCAGTTATGATTTTATTTATATAAGCTATAATGCTAGTATATTTGTATTGTTTAAATACATTTTTTTTTTTTT